CTCCATGGCGCCCGCAGAGAAGTCGGGCACCGCCACCTGGTCCACTTTATCGAACGGGTGCTCCAGCGCGTCGTCTATGTACGCAATGCCCGTGATCGTCTCAAGAGCTTCCAGGAGGGGCCTGGATACTTGAATACTGTACGCTGCCCATTCGAGGGCGTTTGGCCTTGCCCACGTTTTGAATAGAACATCGTTTGGTGACATTCTGTCCTCCCATTCTACGAAATCGGAAACGACAAAAGCGAGAAGATACGTCGACATCGGTGGAGTGCGTTGAAATGTTACAATCGATGATCCGTCCCTGCTGAAATAAATATAAATGATCGTCAAAATGTTTATTTCATTTTATAAACATATAAGAAGCAATACACAGAAAACTAGTGGCTAAAATAAATGCACAGAGATGTTGCAGTCATTTTGTATGTACTTTTAAAGCCAAAGATGTTTTAACGCGAGAAAATGATAAAATTTTGTTTTTAGCATTTAACTGCAGCATTTAAATGTCTTTTATTTTTTAACTGCAGCTCAGCAGTCGGAAAAGTCGGAAATAAATTCACAGCAATTTGTATTCTGAGAAGAAAATTTGAGATATTTTCAAACCTGTTTCAGAGTTCTAACTCACGGCTTTGTCATTTTCTCAAAAATATTTTTGACGTTTGAATTTGGCGCAAAAAAAGTGTGGATTTTTTTCCCCTTATAGTATGAATTATTTTCTCATTTTGCATATCATATTCAACCAGATAAAATAGTGTTCAGTTAAAAAATTTAAATTAACAAAGGCTCGTTTTTGGCTGTATAGGAGTGTTGGCAGTGGGACGGCGGCTATGAAACAATTTAAAAATATTTTTTTATGTTAGAGTCATAGTGTCATAGAGTCATATGTCATTTGGTTGAGGAGAGCTTTTTACCATCTTATCCGGGGATACCCTTTATAATAGTTTGTAGTACGGCAGAAATTACAATTCCTTGTAACGCAGTAACAAGGAACACATTTAAAACAGTTCTAACTTGAAAAGTTCAATTGAAACAAAGCACATGTGGTGCATATCTGCGGTTTATTTTGATAGTCAGGAACAGAAGTCATTTCTAACTTTTGCAAGCGAAACAAACATAAGTAAATGTTACATTATTTGTTGCACAGAAATGAAGAAAAATATTTCACACAAGTTTGCCTTGATTACATCAAAGTGAGCTAATAATTTCTAAATACCATAATCACCGATAAAAAACTTTTTAAATAAAAGAAATGTATTTATTAGTTCTAATGTATTATCTTCCTTACTTATATTTTGTTTCGTAAGAATTTAATCTATATCTTACGACCGCTGAGAATGAGAAGCATTGGGGAATTCAAATTTACATTTCGAATATTTTTTCAATTTTCGATAATACAATGAGTGGGGACCAGCACCAATTTCTTTACCGTTCTTTACTTTATACGTGAAAAAAGTAAAAAAAGTGAGTCGTTTCTGAGAAACTGTTTAAAATTTAAAAAATGATTGTTTGACGCAAAATTACGAAAAAGTTATTCATATATTCGAAAAATTGAACATTATTCTGTGTTTGATGAACACCTTTCATAAAAATTATCTTTATAATTGTACTTATAAGAAGACGCAGAAAAAATTGAATGTTTGTAATTTTCGAAAATCGGAGAATTCAAATAAATGAGACCTGCACTATCCTCTTAACCGTCATTTCCGCTATTTGGAATCTAAAATTTGGTGCCATTTTTTTTAAATGTCCTGGGGCGTAATGAAAAGTTGCCCCCAAAATTAAAACATATATTTCATATTCGAGGGGCCGCGCGGCATAAGAGATATCAATATTGTGGAATATCAATTTTGGTGAAAATCTTGGTTATGGTTTAGCAGCTAGCATTCTTCACATGACAGGTAAACATTTTTTTGGTACCAAGGACCCCCAAAACATGGATGCAGGCTACACAATTATTAAAAGAAGTTATTTTCTAGATATAAGGAAAATATTTATCCACTTTTTCGTTATCAAGGCCCGGCAATAAATAGTTCTTTATTTTATCTTATTTTTCTATCGAAAAATCGCCTTTTTCACAGCATTCCCAGCATAAGCATTAGAGAGAAAGTTAAATTATCAGAAAGTACTATTTGCAATTACGAACTTTAAACCTGCCGTGAAAACTATTTTCTTTTCACACCATGTAATGATGTGAAATCAAAAATATGTTCCACCCTTAGGGTTTAGTATTTTGTTTGGTTATATTATTTTATGTTATGTTAAAATTGAAGTAAACATTTTTTCGGCTTCTTCCTATAATTACAGAATTGTAGATAGAGATATCTTATTGATATGAAATTTATTCTTCCTACTTTGTTCTTTCATTAACGCCATGCGCATTTTTTTCAAAAATTGTAGTAGTTTTCGTGGAATTGTGACTGCAATATGGGCAACATAAAAATATCAAAAAAAAAGAATTTCTCAAAAATGCACCAAAGTTTTTCTTTATATTTTTGATAGGGGTAGTGCTAAATATAAGTCCCTCAGCTCCGTATAAGATGCCATAAACCCTATTTGTCAGTATTCTTTGTTGATTTTTTTTAATTACACAAATGTATTTTTTACTTGTCTCTCACATCATTAATATTTATGTTTGTGGCAATTGTTATACATTATTGCATTTTTTAGAACACGATCTTGAGATAATTTTTTATAAAGTTTCTTCTTAAAGTAAAAATTGAAAAGTTTTCCGTAAAAATTAACTCAAAATTCCAATTTGAGAAGTGCCCAATAGCAATTTTCTCGAAAAAAAAAAACGGTGCAAATTTTTCAAGAAAAATGACCTAACGGACATGATTTTTCACTTTTATAATATTCTGTAATATTCATGTCCCAATTACATTATTAGGGAACCCAAAAATTGAAAAAAAACGCAGTTTGGAAATCGATAGAAGCCAGCTGAGAGAGTGCGGCAGAATCAAAAAGCTATTGTAGGAGAAAAAATTCGAAAAGTAACTAATACACTTAAGTCTCTGCCATTCTGTAGGCACAGTAGTTGAAGTTGAGAGTTGAAATTGTAGTTGACATTTGCAAGAGATTAAACTTTTTTCGACGTCTTCCTGCTAAAATAATGAAAAGAGAACGTTCCTTATTGAACGCTGTTCAAAATCAGATAAGTTCATGTTCAATTTTTCGAAAATATAAGCTTTTGCGTGAACTAGAGACATTATCAAAATATTTTTAACAATTGTATTCCAGAAAACATCTCTATACTTTTCCTTTAAATTTTCCTCGCATGTAGAAAGGAAGGCAATAAACTGGAACTGATGCCATTTTCGGTGACCTTTATTTTACAAAATCCAAAAAAAAGCAAAAAATAATATTGAAAAAGTACTATTTTTTTGGTTAAATGACATCCTCCAAAATATCAGTTCTTAAAAAGGCTATGAGGTAGTTTTAAAAAATATTAGTAGTTTAGCGTAGTTTTGTAAATCTTAATTTCCCGCGCTGTATTTGCAAGCCTTCGGGAAATATCAGATTGATATGCGACATTGGCATTCAGTGATGGCTATTGAATCTTCTGGGAATTTCATATCATTATTAGGCATTGTTGTTGGCATGCAACGCATTTTTAATGGGCATGCAACGCAGTTTTAAATGAGGAATTTGTGTGGATGTTTGCTTTAAAATAATTAATTTTAAATCTAATGTTCTTCGATTTGTAATGAGTTTCTGGTACGTAAAATTATAACTGGTATGTGTTAATTGCGGACAGAAATTGCGGTGGAGTAGTATTACGAAACCGTTATTAAAGGGGAGAAAGTATGTGCTATTTTTCCCCACTAATTTCTTTTCTGAGAATGAGATACTTGAGAAGTCGCACTGCTTCTTTCGCGAACTACCTGTGTTTTGGAAGGTTGCAAAAAATTAAAATTGCGTAAGTACAATATTCATGACAGACGTTTTTATCTTAATAAAAACATTTCTCAAAACTTCGATTTATAAATTAGAACATGTGCAATTTCTTTCAAAAAACTGATAGTTTTCTTGTAATTATTGCTTGAAGTTAAGCAATAGTTTAAAAAATCCCAAAACTGAGTCAAAATTTTTTCTTTACTTATTTTTCTCAAATAAAGCAAAGAACGTTCCAAGAACGGCAAAGATATCATTATTGACATCTCTTTAATTTTTAAAAATTCAAAAGTTACAAATAACGCGAGAAAGTATGTGCAGTTGTACCATACCAAGCTTTACATTTACCTTCTCATGTTTATTCAGAATCTATATTCTCTTCTGAATTCTTTTGAATTCCGCATTGCAAAATAGTACGACTTAAGAAAATGCGTTGTAACAACGAGATGAATAATTAGAAAATCTTACCTAACTCTTGTTCCCATCTCGGGCATGTTTCCTAAAGCATGGTATCCTTGAGGAGTTACAATAGTCACTTGAAACGTTGCTTTGAAGTTGGGTTCGTCAAAGCAAGGAAAAGCTTTACGTGCATGCGTCGGCTGAAACTGCGTGGCTGCTAGTTGTCTGCAATATAAACATGTAAAGTTATTATTACATATTCCACTTATCAGTAAGAGCATGTAATAAAATTGTTGACGAATTTATCTCTAAATTAATTAATATCGTAATTTACGTACACTTCATTGTCTTTGTCGTCAATATATGTACTGAGGTAGAAACCATACATGTTGTTCCGTAGAAAGCCAGAAAATGTTATGTCAATTACGTAATTTTTTCCTTTAGTGACAGGCTCAGCTAAATGTATTTTCATGAACTCATGCGTGCTATCGAATGAAACTGAATCGCATAGATTTTCTACAGATTCCCCATCCAAAGATTTCACTGATATATCTGTCGTTTGGATACCATTGGCATGCAGAACAATAGTCTCAGCCACTTCCATAGCAGTTATTTCAATCGATACTGTTCCGCGAAATGATGTGGAGGCGAAAGTTGGTTCAAGATGTAGGGTGTAATGATTCGGTTTCACCGATTGAGGTAGACGATACATCTGCAGCTCCTTATCTTCCAAAACTCTAAATATTTCATCTGCATGAGTCGACAGCCACTGCAAGTTATCATCAACCACTTCAAGCGTGGCATTACCGGTCGAACCAAGTTGTTCTTCGAATTTCGTCACAAACTCTTGCAGCTTAAAACAGAATAAAATCAATTAATGTAATTTAGCTACTAAGTATTGAAAGTGTATAAAAGAAACAATACCTTATTTCTCTGTGCCAGTGTCGTCATCCGTCCAGCAATGCCATTTAAAATGTTGTTAACGGAACCGAAACTGTAACCATCACAAAACGTATAGAGCTTAAATGAATGTGTAATGTTTTAATTAAGTAACATTAGCGAGAGTACTGCACTTACTATTGTGAGACTTGTTCGAAATTATCGTTGAGGAAATCCAAAGCCACATCGACACCTAGTGGCTTGGAGTAGACAGCCGAGAACACAGTAGAGGCATCCTGTTTCCGAATGTCCCCTCCTGCGATGGACAGCTTTAGCAATCTGAGAAATACATTTTGAGGGTCATTGAAGCATATTTTGCATATAAGATAGCTTCATTGCACGGATGTATGCTTATTCTGAAAAAGTTCAAGAATTATTACAAGAATTCCAAGTTTTACAAGAATTAGCGTCATCCTGCTTCCGAATGACATCCTCAGCTACGGGTTCCATTTACTAACTGAAAAAAGGGATTTGGGGGTCTTTGAATCGCGTTTGCAACTACGAAAGCATTATTAAAGTATATTTGTTATTTGTGATTTCTTTCGTTTTCAATAATACAAGGATTAGTATAACCCAGCATTGATCGAATAATGAATTATTAAGACTTCATCTATTACTTAAAATTACGGTGCATTTTCTTTCTTGTTTGTGAAAATAATAATAATATCTCAACAATTAAATGCAAACGCCCTATACGCTAAGACGGTATTTAAAGACCTGCAATTTTCGCAATGAGACCCGCGTAAAGACAGAATACTTTTTTGCATTAAATTCCTTGCAAGCAGGTTGACAGATTGGGCGAAATTCCGCTTTTTGGGCTGCAAAACGTCTCTCTCTCTCTCTCTTGTGAATTCATTCAAATTTACTTTGAGAAGAAAATAATATTCGTTTTTAGACCTCTAGTATAGGATGTGTTATAAATGTCATTGCGTCTTTGTTCTGCACAACATGAGTATTTAATATCACTTTGGCAGTACTTGCAGTTAATTTTAGAATACACCATTTACAATAAGTCATCTTTTGAAAGTACGGTGTCACTGCCAGCATATTGTTGCACTAGTTTCAAACCAACAAAACGCATGTTTGTACGTTTTACCATGCAAGTGTATTTCCAAACACTGAAATCGGAACCAGAAACACAGGGCCTGGGAGAGTCTAGCGGCGAACATTAGTGGTCGAAGTTGTCAGGATGTTTGCATTAGTGGACCCTACTAATGACTCTTGCGTTTTAGCTATACTCATTTCAATGTAATAAATTAATTGATTTCATTTGAAAATAATTATTGTATCAACCTAAAGTACTCCTCCCATTTGCTGTTGTCTATTCTCAAACCATAACTAATTTTTAAGTATTAAGATCCATTTTATTATTACAAAAAGGTATATTTTACTTAAATTATTAATTAAATGTTCACAAACAAAACATGAAAACAAATCAAGCGTTTCGTAGGGTCACTACCTAAAAAACCCTTTAAGTATGTATTGTTTTTAAAGTAATTTCAAATTTCCCGCTTGGAAAGTTGAACTTTTCTTATTGGGCGGATTTACAGCCATCTAACGGCGGATGCTTGTCAGCAGAACGAAGATGTTGCATTTTCATTAAAATTAACAGCAGAAACAGTATAATAATACGAATCATTTACTAAAAATAACAAACAAGGCGTGATGTCATCCAACTAATATTAAGTTGTTTAGATTAAATTATAAGGTGGAATTAGATTGTTAGATTTCCTGTTTCGTGAAGGAAAGATCGCGCGCGACCCTTGACCCGTTAAACGCGGGCACCCCTTCGGCTTTCGCCTGGTGTTGATCGAAGAAAGCTCGGAAAACTATCGATCAAAGCAGCCAGCCACGAGAATTATCCTGAAGACAGTCGCTGAACCTATCCTAGCTCTCTAGCTAGAGTCGAAAATCCTGCCTCCAAAATCTCGCCATTGGTTTTCTTTCTAAAATGTCTCGCCCAGTATATCATACAAGCATTTGTTTCAATATTATTTTTTTCTTCGAGTACATTGGTATTAAGTGCAATAAATTATATTTTATATGCTGTGAAAAACAAAGACGTGTCTTACTCGCTAAGGCGGCGCTGATCTCTAGAGCACGCCAGTCCTCCAATGATGAGACCCCGCTCCACGTCGTCGTCGGAACTCTGATACACACTCCACAGCTTGTCCCAGTACATAGAGTGGGAGTTGTGTATTCCGTGACAATACACTACACTTCTTTGATCCGGATTAACACTGAAACAAAACACACAACTTGAAAATGAATGTATAAGTACAGAAATAAAAATCACAATGATATAAATTTTTTTTTGTAAGTGAAATAATGGTACTCGAATAAACATTTAAATACAATTCCATTCGTAATCCAAATACAAAAAGGCAAGTCGTCCCCAAAAACACAATACAAAAGGCTGTTCCAAAATCAAAAACCAAAATCACAGCAGCGCCGACCACAATAACCTGGAAAGAATATGAATTTACCAGCCACAAGTACAATAACAGTAATTAACGAGCATGACAAGCCCAAAGAGAAGAAGTTGCTCTTTGAATCTCGTTTACATCAGGAGAAGGGTCTAGTTGCGCTTTTTGAAAATAATTTTTTTTACATTTTTGTAGCATGTTCTTCAAAATATAATGCAGTTTATCTTAAGTGTTTGCATTCACTTGCGTAAATACATCGTCGTTGTCTATGGATAAAAACGTGTTGCACTATTCTCTTGAAAACTGGATAATAAGTATAAATTTGGAAACATTTTGGTATTTTAAATAGCATTTTAAGTCTTGGTGCAATATAGTCTAAAACATTATGTTAAAAAGTAGATTTTGCCATTAAAGACAAATAAATGATACGTGAAAGTCCATGACTCCGTACTTACGTAGTAAAGAGGAAGTATTGTAATTCTGGGGCAAAAATGGGCAATTTTGCGAAATGAAAATTCATATTGTGAGGCCCTGTACCGAAAAAGTGAATAAGTACTGTTTCTGTATATTGTAAATTATTTCTTACAACATATTGTGAAGTGAAAATATTGTTTTGCGGGTCTCTCATGTCAAAATAAAGATTTGCGACAAAATGTCAGTCTGCTTTGGTCAACGCTATCGTATAAATACGGTACAGTTTATCGCGTTTATCAGTGCAGACGATTTTCGCCGAAATTCGTCTGTCGACGAACTGCAGACCATGCGCGCGTAAACCGGATATATTCATTTTAGGAGGTTTCTTCTTGTAAATTACAGTCAAAAACCAGAATATCCCCTTAAAACGTGCAAGGCGTCGAGTTCGATTACGTTGACAAGGGAAAATCAAATTTTGCGAAAATGGTCTGAGCGGTTTAGGTGATAGCGTTCAACTCGGCCTGGCCAGTTCTGATGGCTCGATCAGTACTGATCGAGTGACGGACAGACGCACTGACAAACGGACGGACAGATAGATGTTTTGCCGTCAATCGATTTTTCAGAATCGAGGACTCACAAAACATGGATTGTGACTCCTCAAGGTGTTAGAGTAAGTAATTTACTACATACACAACTTTATCCACTTTTTCGTTATCGGGGCTCGATAATAAGAGCTTTTCTTTCAAATAATTAATTTCCGTCACACGATTATAATTTTTTCTCTTCTTATAAAGTATGAAGTTTGGTTGAAGTGTTAGAATTTTTGAAAGTTTCGAAATTGCAATTTTTCGGCGTCTTTATTATAACAATATTGAGGATAAAATTTATTTCAATGCAATGATCTTCAAAAACAGATCTTGTTTTCACGTAAAATATAGGCAATATTTTTAAACAAGTACTTTCTGAAAAATCGCCACAACTTTTTTGTTGAAATTTTCTCCAATCATTAGATGCTCAATATGGCACCACACGCATATGGGAACACACTCTCTATTTTCGAAAATTAAGAAGTTTTTAACATAGAAAAGAATAATATTAATGATATAATTTGTCCATAAATGAAACCTGTTATACAAAAATAGATCGCTAAATAAGTGGTTGTACATTTTTAAAAAAAGGTTGCTGTGGTGCAATTTTTCTTTAACAAAAACGATTCCAACTTTTATTTTTAAATTTTTCGTCGGATAGAAAATGTACGTATGTACATGGCGCGACAGCTCGTGAACGGACTCAGACCTATCAGCGGATAGATAATACGCCTTAAAATTGGCGTCGGTTCCATTTTTGTTTTATTGCACGTATTTTTCAAAAATCGCAAACAAACAGAAACACTGCAATTCTGCTTTACTGATGACCGAGACTTCTTCCCTGAATGAAATCAGGACTTTAAAACTACATCTTGAAATACTGTAAATGAAAATCTCTGATTTTTTTAAAATTGCTAATAAAAATTGGAACATTTGGAAACGTCACGGACAGCTGTGAGACTTGTAGCTGTCGTGTGGTGTAGCTGTCGTGTTGGCTCTGAAGATCTGAATTCGAATCTCAGTGCGATATATATATATATATATATATATATATATATATATATTTGCTGGTTAGAAACTCTTTATCGCATAGCCATTGTAAAAAATGCGAAAAAATGTGATGTTTCAGAACAAGTTTTTAAAATTGTGGAGACAAAAAATTAGCAATGTTTTCTTTGTGCAAACGAATACCCATACCTCTTGTTATTAGTTAAGCCACTTTTGTATTTATCGGAATAGTAAGAAAATAAATATTAGTCATTTATATAAATATTATATTTATATAAATTATATTGGTGTTCTACGCCCCTAGTAATACATGGGATATTTTATACCTTGATATCGTTAGAACTAAAAGATTCTAAGTTAAAAACATACGATTGAAAGGTGTGATTTTTAGTTCGATTTTCAACGAAGAATGTATTTGCCTTTATCAATAAAATTATATTTACCTTTGAAAAGCATCTAAGAACAATTGCAATCTAAGGACCGCATGGTTTGTACACGACTCGACATCTACAGAGCAAGCCCAAGAGCCCAGTCTGTTCATGAGGAGTTTCTCGTCGTGACGATTCGGGGCTTCGTTTTTGGAGAATGTCAGGCTTAACGAGCTATACGCCCTGTCAATAAGACGAGACACATAGCGCTGCAACAGAAATGGATTGTATTAGATAAATAAGATAAATATTTTTTTGACATTTAGCAAATATTTAGGATATTTTCAAGATGTAATTATAGAAATGAGAATATTATTGTTATAAATCGGCTCTAGATGAGTTACGTTTAATAAGCAAAAAAAAATGTTCATAATAGTAATTTCTGAGGCCAGAGAATTTTTGAACTCTTTGGCTAAGACAATGTTTCCTGCAATCGGAAGCACCATTTTCCCAGATTCAAATTAATGCTATGATCATGAATTAAGTTTGCATAACTAGAGAAGAGCTAGATTAATATCCACGATAGTTTTGCAATGACAAGCATTAGATAAGGATCTGACGAAAAATATGCCAACATTATACTTTAGCATCCAAGCATACAGAGCAAGCTGAGTGAAAAAGTTGAATTTTCAAAGATTGTGCATTTTTTTACGAACTTACAAAATTTACAACAATTTTATATATTAAGTGAAAGAGATTCTCAAATTAAAGTTTATACGAAAGCTAATAATGTTATAATTTGTAGAACTTTCTGCATTGAATTCGAAATTTTTCTCAATATCGGTTAAAGTTTATATTGTATTATGTAATGCTTATTTAAAAATTCTTAATACTGAATCCTTAATTGTCTTCCACTGCACTTGGAAATAATGCAATCCGTACTATATTATCTAATGCTGAAGAAATAAGGGCAAGTTAATTCAGGTACAAAAAATTGACATCAAGTTTCTCTTTGTAGTACCAATACATAATTATGTTAACGTGTCATCCTCAGCTCCTTATAAATTGACATGGATACCCGTATGTCTTTTTATTTTAGATTTAAAAACCCCGTGTCAGCATTGCTTGCACTATCAGCACTTTTTCCAAGACACGATGCGCCGATGACAAACTCCGAAGGTAAAGTGCAAACCCGACAAGACTATGCAATTCTTAAATGATACGACAGACATTGAGAGAACTTCGTTCTCCGGTTGTACACAAAACTGTCGCTTTACGCTCCCCAATTCCATTAATTCACAAATTAACAGGGTTTTTTTGTGAAATTTAACAAACTACTTGTCATAGTAGTCATTCTATATTTGGAAAACTATAGCAGTGGAGTGTATGTAAAAGTGGTGTGAATGATAGTTTAGCGTAATAGAACGTTGTTTGTGAGTTTAAAGGATAATCTATCCAGTAACGGATTTAGTCAGATTGATTATCCATAAGCCAATAAACAAATGTCTGCTGATAAGCGTTAGTACAATTAATTTTAATGTTGTCTATGAAAACGGTTATCAAAAGCGAGGAAGAACACAGAACCTACTAAGTTTCTTTTAAAGAAAAATAATCACAAAATTTAGCTGAGTATAAGGCCTACATTTATTTTAAACAACAGCCTTTAATGTTTTACAGATAGAAAATAGCAAATATATTATGTCTGCAAGGGTAATTTGCAAAGTAATGCTAGCTGGATGTGATGTCTTGGTGATTTATGTTCTTACCTTGAAGACTGGATACTTTTCGTGATTCACGAGCATGCGATCCAGGTACGAGAACGCGTTGAGCGCTGCTGTCAAGGGAATCAAATCCTTCTCCCGACTGAGATAGTCGGCCAGATCGAAGGCAGTTTTGAACCCTAATTGGTTGGCTCTCGCTAAATTGAAAGCATCATCGACAACCTGTGCGCGATTCAAGACGTGAATGCCATCTAGTGGATTTTTGATGTCTTTCAAATATTCTGATATTAGTTTCCAGTTGTTGTCATCATAATTTACTCTGAAGTAGCCTGTTAACACAACAGAGTAACGTATGTATTAAAAATATCTCTTTATACATTGATTATAAACTAATTAGTTAAATAAATCAATTACCAGTTTCCTGAACATTGAATATTACCCATTTCTCGGCTTCTGGCATATTCACTATATTAGTAACTGTATCTTTTCCCAAATATAAACTTGGTGTTGCCACATCGAAAGAACCTCCTTGTGCCGTCCAAGTTAAAGGTACGATGTATTGTTCCTCTGAAGTACCTTTAAAGAGAAATCTTTTCTGGAAATAAGAAATAAAAGTGGCATATAATTCAGGATGAATCGCAAAATATTGACATCAAATAACACTGCTTATGCAATGCGTATGTATGTAATTTTACGAATAGTAAAGATAGATTTAAAAATGATGTTATGTACAATTTTTCGAAAATTTAAGTATTTTTCGTTACATTTGGAGTGAATTATAGAAAATTTCCAATTTTGTTCAAATAATTTTTCCTCTCAAAAATGACTCCATCGTTTTTGATGAAATTTTGTCGTTGGTTGGTCTAAAGGACGTTTAAGAAAATAGCGTAGGTTTAAAGTTGGTTGCGAACGCAAATTTTTCTAAAATTGAAAATAATTAAAATTTGTTCGGCATCTTACTACAACTTCAATTATGAATATATATTCTTTTCTTAATAAAATGTGTTCAGCAAACACATATCTTCAAATAGATAGGTTCAATTTTTTAAAAACATGAGTACTTGTTGTGCAATCTGATGTCAAACAGGTAATTTTTATTTACTTTAAACTATTTTTTATTAAAAACCGCAATTTTTTTAATATGGGAAAGTTAGATAGGGAGATCTCATGTTTCTAGAAATGCCTGACTTGGCGAAATTTTTTTTAATAATTAAAAAAAATTCGGCGACTTCTTATATTTACAATTGTGAAGTTACAATTTTTTAACGAAATGTTTTCTTAAAAAACATATTCAATTTTTTGAAAATATGAGTTCTTTTGTGTAATTTTGTGCCACAATAATTGACTACGCTTCGTCCCAACAAGTTAGTATGTGTGGCACACATTCGATGCCGATGAGACATGTGAGCTATCGGAGTTACAAATTGATATTTACTATATCTGAAAGCACTCAGATTGTCGGTAAAAGTGTTGCATTTTGTCTTAGAATATCAGAAACTAAAATTATAAACAAGAAAACGAAAAGAAATTCCAGCCGAATCGGTGCTGTTAAGTACAAAATTCTTACTAGTAAATGCAAGAAAGATAGTGAAAAAAAATTGAGATATGAACAGCTAATAACTAATAGCGTAGATAACATTGATAACTTGATAAAAATGTTAAAAGGTTTTATTTATAACATTTTTTTAAAATTCGAACAATAAAATATGAATTACAATATTACTACATGTGTAATTTCTCTAACCTGAGAAATTGACGCTGAGTTCGTCCCGTAGTCGCGTGACACTGTAACTACTGGATAGCCTGGGTCTTCAGTCCACGACTTCAGCAGTTCTTCAAACACATCCCTTTCTAAATTTGCAGCGAGAGCAAATGGCGTAAGTTGATCAAACAGATCCTGAGGTTCCACGTTTTCATATTTGCTGCATAAGTAAAATATTAATGAAAACATTATAGTAAAATATTTGGTAACATATCTTAAGATATCAGCATATACTCACTGTTTAATGAGGTAATTTTGTAGAGCTTCATTAAAATTTTTTTCACCAATTATATAAGTAATCATACGCAGAATCGATCCACCTGATACGAGAAAATACAAGAATATTAACAATACAATTATAAATACAGTATTATTTAAAAAATAAATTAGTTGTGCTACACAAAGACTAAGACTTTCGGCCTCTTATTTTTTTTGTATTCTCTTGAGTCCGTGCTATCATTCTCTATCATCTTCTCAACTGCCACCTATCTACATCTAAATGACCTACTGGGCCATGTGAGAGCTTAGACTTCCGCAGCCAGAGTCAGTATTTAATTGGCTGTCCGGGTGATGCCGCGTCCATGGCAAAGGTGCCGACGTTTCGCCACTCTGCGACCTTCCTCAGGGCGTAATGCAATGATATGATACATTGTGCCCTGAGGAAGGTCGAAGAATGGCAACTAAAACGTCGGCACCTTTGTCATGGACGCGGACAACCAATTAAATACCACTGGGCCTTCTCGGGTATCTACCGCACCTCTGGGGACCCTGTGAAGAACACCTTCGCTCTCCCGGAATATATATGCATAGATGTTTCTCGGCCCTCGGGGTTGGACAGTATTTAAATACGAGTACATTTTGCATTTTAAAAAGTGTATTTTTGAGTTTTTTGGGCATATTCTTTAGAGTTGTATTTAAATACATACAGTAAGTGTATTTTAAAAAAGAAATACTTAAAATACTTTAAACATAGTCCACCACGTCTTGTCTTCTGTCAGCTGTCAAGAGGTCCCGCCTCTCCCTTAAGCGCTCCTGCGTCACTACCATGCGGCCACAATTGTACAGGAATTAGAACAGGGGTTTCGGACACTTCACTGGGGTTCACTAGCCCTTGTAAAGAGGCCAAACGCGTTTATTAGAACA